AAATACTAGTGAGAATTGTTAGTAGTTTGAAATTTGAAATACTAGTGAGAATTGTTAGCAGTTTGAAATACTAGTGAGAATTGTTAGCAGTTTGAAATACTAGTGAGAATTGTTAGCAGTTTGAAATACTAGTGAGAATAGTCAGCAGTTTGAAATACTAGTGAGAATTGTTAGCAGTTTGAAATACTAGTGAAAATGGTTAGCAGTTTGAAATACTAGTGAGAATTGTTAGCAGTTTGAAATACTAGTGAGAATTGTCAGCAGTTTGAAATACTAGTGAGAATGGTTAGCAGTTTGAAATACTAGTGAGAATGGTTAGTAGTTTGAAATACTAGTGAGAATTGTTAGCAGTTTGAAATAGTAGTGAGAATAGTCAGCAGTTTGAAATACTTGTGAGTTTGAAATAATTGTTAGCAGTTTGAAATACTAGTGAGAATTGTTAGAGTTTGAAATACTAGTGAGAATGTTAGCAGTTTGAAATACTAGTGAGAATAGTTAGAGTTTGAAATTGTTAGTTAGCAGTTTGAAATACTAGTGAGAATAGTAAGCAGTTTGAAATACTTGTGACAATTGTTAGGAGTTTGAAATACTAGTGAGAATAGTTAGCAGTTTGAAATACTAGTGAGAATTGTTAGCAGTGAGAATTGTTAGCAGTTTGAAATACTAGTGAGAATTGTTAGCAGTTTGAAATACTAGTGAGAATTGTTAGAGTTTGAAATAATTGTTAGTAGTTTGAAATACTAGTGAGAATTGTTAGCAGTTTGAAATACTAGTGAGAATTGTAAGCAGTTTGAAATACTAGTGAGAATTGTTAGCAGTTTGAAATACTAGTGAGAATTGTTAGCAGTTTGAAATACTAGTGAGAATTGTTAGCAGTTTGAAATACTAGTGAGAATAGTTAGCAGAAATTTGAGTTTGAAATACTAGTGAGAATAGTTCAGCAGTTTGAAATACTAGTGAGAATAGTTCAGCAGTTTGAAATACTAGTTTGAAATACTTGTGAGAATTGTTAGCAGTTTGAAATACTTGTGAGAATTGTTAGTAGTTTGAAATACTTGTGAGAATAGTCAGCAGTTTGAAATACTTGTGAGAATAGTCAGCAGTTTGAAATACTTGTGAGAATAGTCAGCAGTTTGAAATACTAGTGAGAATAGTCAGCAGTTTGAAATACTAGTTTGAAATACTAGTGAGAATTGTTAGCAGTTTGAAATACTAGTGAGAATAGTCAGCAGTTTGAAATACTAGTGAGAATTGTTAGCAGTTTGAAATACTTGTGAGAATTGTTAGCAGTTTGAAATACTAGTGAGAATTGTTAGTAGTTTGAAATACTAGTGAGAATTGTTACTAGTTTGAAATACTAGTGAGAATAGTCAGTAGTTTGAAATACTAGTGAGAATTGTTAGTAGTTTGAAATACTAGTGAAAATTGTTAGTAGTTTGAAATACTAGTGAGAATTGTTAGCAGTTTGAAATACTTGTGAGAATTGTTAGCAGTTTGAAATACTTGTGAGAATAGTCAGCAGTTTGAAATACTAGTGAGAATTGTTAGCAGTTTGAAATACTTGTGAGTGAGCAGTTTGAAATTGTGAGAATAGCAGTTTGAAATACTGTGAGAATAGTAGCAGTTTGAAATACTAGTGAGAATTGTTAGCAGTTTGAAATACTAGTGAGAATTGTTAGCAGTTTGAAATACTAGTGAAAATGGTTAGCAGTTTGAAATACTAGTGAGAATTGTTAGTAGTTTGAAATACTAGTGAGAATTGTTAGTAGTTTGAAATACTTGTGAGAATTGTTAGTAGTTTGAAATACTTGTGAGAATTGTTAGTAGTTTGAAATACTAGTGAGAATAGTCAGCAGTTTGAAATACTAGTGAGAATAGTCAGCAGTTTGAAATACTAGTGAGAATTGTTAGCAGTTTGAAATACTTGTGAGAATAGTTTGAAATACTTGTGAGAATTGTTAGTAGTTTGAAATACTAGTGAGAATGGTTAGCAGTTTGAAATACTAGTGAGAATTGTTAGTAGTTTGAAATACTAGTGAGAATGGTTAGTAGTTTGAAATACTAGTGAGAATTGTTAGTAGTTTGAAATACTAGTGAGAATTGTTAGCAGTTTGAAATACTAGTGAGAATAGTCAGCAGTTTGAAATACTAGTGAGAATTGTTAGCAGTTTGAAATACTTGTGACAATTGTTAGTAGTTTGAAATACTAGTGAGAATAGTTAGCAGTTTGAAATACTTGTGACAATTGTTAGTAGTTTGAAATACTAGTGAGAATAGTCAGCAGTTTGAAATACTAGTGAGAATTGTCAGCAGTTTGAAATACTAGTGAGAATTGTTAGTAGTTTGAAATACTAGTGAGAATGGTTAGCAGTTTGAAATACTAGTTTGAAATACTAGTGAGAATAGTCAGCAGTTTGAAATACTAGTGAGAATAGTCAGCAGTTTGAAATACTAGTGACAGTTGTTAGTAGTTTGAAATACTTGTGAGAATTGTTAGTAGTTTGAAATACTAGTGACAGTTGTTAGTAGTTTGAAATACTTGTGAGAATTGTTAGTAGTTTGAAATACTTGTGAGAATTGTTAGTAGTTTGAAATACTAGTGAGAATAGTCAGCAGTTTGAAATACTAGTGAGAATAGTCAGCAGTTTGAAATACTAGTGAGAATAGTCAGCAGTTTGAAATACTAGTGAGAATGGTTAGTAGTTTGAAATACTAGTGAGAATTGTTAGTAGTTTGAAATACTAGTGAGAATGGTTAGTAGTTTGAAATACTAGTGAGAAATAGTTTGTTAGTAGTTTGAAATACTAGTGAGAATGGTTAGCAGTTTGAAATACTAGTGAGTATTGTTAGTAGTTTGAAATACTAGTGATAATGGTTAGTAGTTTGTAATACTAGTGAGAATTGTTAGTAGTTTGAAATACTAGTGAGAATTGTTAGCAGTTTGAAATAGTAGTGAGAATAGTCAGCAGTTTGAAATACTAGTGAGAATTGTTAGCAGTTTGAAATACTAGTGAGAATTGTTAGCAGTTTGAAATACTAGTGAGAATAGTCAGCAGTTTGAAATACTAGTGAGAATAGTCAGCAGTTTGAAATACTAGTGAGAATAGTCAGCAGTTTGAAATACTAGTGAGAATAGTCAGCAGTTTGAAATACTAGTGAGAATTGTTAGCAGTTTGAAATACTAGTGAGAATTGTTAGCAGTTTGAAATACTAGTGAGAATTGTTAGTAGTTTGAAATACTAGTGAGAATTGTTAGTAGTTTGAAATACTAGTGAGAATTGTTAGTAGTTTGAAATACTAGTGAGAATTGTTAGTAGTTTGAAATACTAGTGAGAATTGTTAGTAGTTTGAAATACTAGTGAGAATTGTTAGTAGTTTGAAATACTAGTGAAAATGGTTAGTAGTTTGAAATACTAGTGAGAATTGTTAGTAGTTTGAAATACTAGTGAGAATGGTTAGTAGTTTGAAATACTAGTGAGAATTGTTAGTAGTTTGAAATACTAGTGAGAATGGTTAGATTCACTTGAAGTTTGAAATAGTACTTAAAAGTGAAAATGTTAAGTTTGAAAGTGTGTCAAATTTGTGGCCCCATCTTAAATTTGAGAATTGTTATGGACAAATAGGGCAAAAATTAATTGGTATACAGTATAGAACTGGTTTGAAATACATAGTGAATAGTTAACTTGTCATTTGTTAGTAGTTTGAAATACTAGTGAGAAATGTTATCTGTAGTTTTGTTCAAATATTAAACACTTTGTTCAGGTTGGAAATGAGAATGCAGTTAGTAAGCTTTGAAATACTGATAAACTAGCATAGTGAAAATGGTTAGTAGTTTGAAATACTTGTGAGAATAGTTAGCAGTTTGAAATACTAGTGAGAATTGTCAGCAGTTTGAAATACTAGTGAAAATGGTTAGTAGTTTGAAATACTAGTGACAGTTGTTAGCAGTTTGAATTTATATAGGTTAACAATGTAAGCTACTGGTTATATGTAATTAGCAGCTTAAAATATTAGCAGGAAAGGATATGTTACAAGTTTAGAATGAGGTAAGAATTCTACAGCAATTCAGAAAAACAATTGTAAGGTAAGCTGTTTCAGTAAGAGATCCTTGGGAGCATGTTAATGTTTTAAGACGAGAAAGTTGCTAATTTCAATTATACATGTGATATGAATTTCGCATGTAATTAGGAAATGTGTTTTACTATATATACTTTGAGAAGTGTGTACAGATGTAAGAGTCAGGTAAATAAATCACAGGTATATGTATGTGCACAGTTCTGGCTTTAGGATGGATACATTTTCTGAAGAATCTGTTAAATTGTATTCCGGAGATATTTGATGTATAGAATCATTCAGCTGGAAATCTATCCCAGGGATAGGCTCATGTAGTCATTCAAGATTAATCAGGAAGAAAAGTGAACCGATACAGTTCTGCTTGAATGCTTTCACCTATAAACACTATATAGGTTATAACAACAAGAAGAAAAGCCGTTAAGATTACTGCAAATTACCATATATTTACTGGTGTGGATGTCAGAGTTTTGTCAGCCAGATCTGTGTTTTTATTATTGCCAAGACCTGCCCTGAAGGATTTATAACTAGAATATGGAGATATTTCTACCTGGAACACAACTTCTCTTACCTGGTTAGCATACAAAGGCTCTGGAAAATAAAAGATTCAGTAATCATTCAAAGATAAGAATTTGATAGTGAAAAATCAGTCATAAAGAAGAGAACTCTTGCCATAAGTGAGATCTTACTGAAGTTTGCATTGAAGTTTGGAGTATTTAAGCACATATATTCAAGTGTGTGTTGTACTTTCTGCTATAGGACAGAGAACCATACTCTGTAAATGATTGATGATATTGTACAGGTATACATCCCTTTACTACAGATCTGTTTTGACTGGTGACCTGTCCACATTGTGTGAGGTTGTGTAATTCCTAATCATTGGGCCCTTGTCTGTGTGTGATGTACATGATTGACCTTTCATTTTGCAGGACTCCCTCGGGGCTGGGAACAGGCAGTCACCCAGGAAGGAGCTATCTATTATATAGAGTGAGTATATTTCTGTGGTGGAAGACATACATTCACCTGGACTTACAGACCAATCTGTGGGCAGGATATAAGCAGTTCTGTGGATTTTATCAATTCATTGGATTTATGTTATGTAAAGATTCCAGGTAGGTACACCTTGGATTAAAGACATATATATGTAGCCATCCAACATTTCAATAACAGACACAAGTTGCCTTAATATGTATGGATTATATATATATTATTTGTCATTTTATAGTGCTCTATATATTGCTCAGTGTTTAGCTCATCATATGTTACCGACCAGGTTGATAGATATCAACAGATATATGTGTAGATTTGGTGTCAATATTAACAAAAAACTGAATGGTAAAATGAAGCTCTGACTGTGTAACATGTTGACATAAAAACGCACACAATGAAAATATGCAAACTGTAACAAAACCACTGGTACTGCAAGTGTTATATTTACTTATAATGTAGGTCAAGTAAATCACTTGTAGTTCAGGTCATACCTCTGTTCTTGGTCATGTGATGGATATTGTAATTAGTGTAAATCACAAAGCTGATAATATAAATCACTTTAATGTAGATCATAGGAATCACTCAAAATTACTAGGTCTTGTGAATCACTGTATGTAGGTCATGTGAATCAATAAAATTATAGGTCATAGGTCATGTAAATGTGAATCACTCTTAATGTAGTTAGTGATCACTTCAAATGTAGGTCATGTGGATCACTCCAGATGTAGGTCATGTAAATCAATCTACATATAGGTCACGTGAATCACTCCAGATGTAGGTCATGTGAATCAATCTACATATAGGTCACATGAATTACTCCAGATGTAGGTCATGTAAATCAATCTACATATAGGTCACGTGAATCACTCCAGATGTAGGTCATGTAAATCAATCTACATATAGGTCATGTGGATCACTCCAGATGTAGGTCATGTGAATCAATCTACATATAGGTCATGTGAATCAATCTTAATGTAGTTAGTGACCACTTCAAATGTAGATCATGTGGATCACTCCAGATGTAGGTCATGTGAATCAATCTACATATAGGTCATGTGAATCAATCTTAATGTAGTTAGTGACCACTTCAAATGTAGATCATGTGGATCACTCCAGATGTAGGTCATGTGAATCAATCTACATATAGGTCATGTGAATCAATCTTAATGTAGTTAGTGACCACTTCAAATGTAGATCATGTGGATCACTCCAGATGTAGGTCATGTGAATCAATCTACATATAGGTCATGTGAATCAATCTTAATGTAGTTAGTGACCACTTCAAATGTAGATCATGTGGATCACTCCTGTTGTTCAAATGAATTCATCATAGTGCAACATATACAGTATAATTATGCAAATAAATTCATACAGAATGTTAGGCTTTAAGTTATCAGCCATGTTGTTCATATTTGATGGGTCATTGATGACATTTTATGGTATGTTTGAGCAAAAAAACTCATGACATCATCAGTTTTGGACATATTTACATACAAGTCCTACAGTCATGTTAAGTCAGTGTTGATAGACCAGGGTGATTGATGGAGATTAATCTTGTTTACTGTACATTACACTAATGACTTTCTGTGTTTTAGTCAGATACTGCTGTATTTAGGATTGAAGACATGGAAATCATGCATATAAGATTTTGAACAAATTTCCTTGTGAAAAGAACTGCTAGTTTCTAGATATACCACCAAACTTGTTACATTTTTCTCTACTGAGCCTACCTAGTTTATCCTACTGCTTAGTGGGACCCAGCATATAAAGCATGACTGCCAGGATAGCTCTCATGGAACAAGCTTAATACAGGACATTGTAGTATCGTTCTCAGCAACAGTAGACAGGCTTATTACAAGGCATTGGTTTATCTGCCTGATGAGTACATATATTGTTTGAATGAATTTTGTAGTTTGTGTAATATGTCCTTATCCTTAGTTTTATTGTTACACTTTCTGTACTGGATACAGAAACATTGACCTATATGTACTAATAACATGACAGTATCTTACCTTTGTTCTGTCAAGTTGATACATTGTATCTGAGTTCACTTGAAACAAAGTTTCTGGGTTATAGAATTAACATTGATACTAATGACATCAGCCATTAATCAGGGGAAAACCTTTCTCATATTGAATGACTGTTAGTCAATGCATGTAGCTTCAAAAAAAAAAAAAAAAACATGCACTGCTCAATTTGTTCTGTACTTTAACAGTTCACTCAGATTTTCACAAGGAAATCAAACTAAAAAAATCAATCGGAGTTTGATCTGCACTTTAAGAATCACAAAATATGAAAGCACAAATGCTTAATATTCAGGATTGTAAAATTTTTTCTGTTAATATAGATAGATATACTTGTATTAGAAAATAAGACTAGAATATAAAACTGTTGAGGTTGTTCTGCATGTTAAAAATAAAAATGCATGAGAAAGTAAAACTGAAAAAAATGGGAAATTATTATGTTTCATTCCAGAACTTAATATGAAGTTGAATATTTAATTATATAGGTACACGTTCAAAAGTATATAATTTATATTTAATTAAAGATTTCATGTACCTACTACGATTGTTTACATTGTACAATAAGAAGAATGAGCAGCTTGTTGAGGCTATTAAGATATCACTTATCCAAGGTTAATTTCAGATATGACAAAACTATTACAAAATGCAAAATTAAAACATGCATATTTCCTTGACCTCCAACACTTGTCTCGCTATCTGTCTGGATTAAGTCTTAATTAAATACAATGTATATTTTGATGCAATTAACTATGCGTTTATGTTACCTAATAGTTAAAGTACAAGTATGTGTGGACAGAATTAGGAAGACTTTAACATATACATATTACATATTGATGACATCAAGGTAAGCAGTACATAATATACAAGTGTGTGATTATCTCGTCCAGAACAAGAATTTAGGCAAGTTTGAAATAGATGACCTTTAACCTCATGTAATAAGCATTAGGACTTATTATGGAAGGATTCGATCAAGGAATGCATGAGTAGTTAGCTATGGAATCTTTACATAGCAGATTATTGGGTCGTAAGCCTGGTGTGTGCGTAATGTATTGATACCGTCAGACGTAAAATTGGTCTTATGTCTCTATATGGTGCCGTCAGTGTGTACACAGATCCTGGGGAGTAACGTTACCTGTTTCGGCCAGTTACCAGTTGGAATTTCTAAAATAATGGATTAATTTAGGGTTTTAAACATCATTACAAGCAATACAAGGAATTCCTGTCAGGTAAGCTCAATTTTAATGTAATAAGAGGTACTTGTAGAACAAAATAGCTGTAATTATTGTCAATATTTATATATAATTTTAAGTTTTAAGCCCTCTAGATGCTAAAGAGCATGTTGTGGATGAGTTGAATTACATCTCATACTTCATGTGCTATATTTATCCTCACACCTGTCTAGACGTATTGTTGACATTAATTGGAATCTAAAACAGTTGAAGAAATTACTCAGAATTTATACCTTCGTCAGCTTTTCCTGTTAGAGGATGTATAGTGACTTAATCATTCTCAGGACATTTGTCTTTGCTTAAAACTTGTCAACTGTACCAGTATTGTGCTACCTTAACATTGACTTAATCTGTTGTCATTAATATGTTACCTTAAATTGAAGTGTCATTATATACTGAAATTGGTTACTTTGACTCATAAGAAAAGTATTTGTACTTGTCATTGTAAAATTTTACTTTGACTACAGTAAAGAAGGTTACCGAGGACTTGCATGTTTGAATTTCTGTGATAGGAGTTCTAATGTATCATTGATCCCCACCTTTTCCTACAACAAGCTATGGAATGTTGACTCAGTATAACTAAATAAGAGGTTACAGTCTGATACATATCTCTCTACATGATCTCTGTAATATAACACACTGTACAAGTAGCAATTCTTATGTGGATTTTCTCTTCAGTTTTATAAAACTTCTCTGATTTCAACAGAAATATTTAGTGTCAAAAAGTAAAAGTCCTTCTCTATATTAGTTCACTAGTGCTGAAGTTTTTTTCAGATTGCACAATCCGAAATCAAACTAGAAATTTAAATGATTTTTTCAAGATATCATTAATTTAGAATATTGGTCTGATTTAAAGGTTACCATGTGATATTAATAAAATAAATTGTGTATTACTTAAGTTATGATAGGAAGCTGTATAGATATGCTACACTAAGTCTTGTCATCAGATGTAAATATGCACTGTTATTGTCCTTGGTAAACTGTACCCCGCTAAACCTCATAACAAGGTTACAATGTCGCTGTTATACCCTGCTAAACCTCTTAACAAGGTTACAATGTCGCTGTTATACCCTGCTAAACCTCATAACAAGGTTACAGTGTTCCTGTTATACCCTGCTAAACCTCATAACAAGGTTACATTGTCGCTGTTATACCCTGCTAAACCTCTTAACAAGGTTACAGTATCACTGTTATACCCTGCTAAACCTCATAACAAGGTTACAGTATCACTGTTATACCCTGCTAAACCTCATAACAAGGTTACAGTATCACTGTTATACCCTGCTAACCCTCATAACAAGGTTACAATGTCGCTGTTATACCCTGCTAAACCTCATAACAAGGTTACAGTGTTGCTGTTATACCCTGCTAAACCTCATAACAAGGTTACAGTATCACTGTTATACCCTGCTAAACCTCTTAACAAGGTTACAGTGTTGCTGTTATACCCTGCTAAACCTCATAACAAGGTTACAATGTCGCTGTTATACCCTGCTAAACCTCATAACAAGGTTACAGTGTTGCTGTTATACCCTGCTAAACCTCATAACAAGGTTACAGTGTTGCTGTTATACCCTGCTAAACCTCATAACAAGGTTACAGTGTCACTGTTATACCCTGCTAAACCTCTTAACAAGGTTACAGTGTCACTGTTATACCCTGCTAAACCTCATAACAAGGTTACAGTATCACTGTTATACCCTGCTAAACCTCATAACAAGGTTACAATGTCGCTGTTATACCC